GCATGCGCTCGCCTTTGTCTCCTCGCGGCCGGTGGTGGTGGTGGTGGAGGTGGAGAGGATATCTTCCGGTTCCGATCCGGCGGATCCGCCGCCGCGTCCACTTGCCGCGATGCGCAGGCATCATGGCGCACGGCAGTGGCACAGGTCGGCGGCCGCGCTCGGTGCTTTATTCTATTTTATCTTAGCGTCTCGTAGTGGTCGAGCAGCTATAGATAGCCGCAACCCGCAATCAAAAATGCATGCCAGCGCCGGCCGTCGTGGACGCCACGCGGCCCAGGCTGGAACTGACCGCGACGGGACGCGAGGGATCTCTTTCGCTCGCCTTTCTCTTCTTCCGGGAGACGGAGACGGCGGCGCCGTGACGCTCGCGCCGCCTCCGGTCGGCCCGTCGTACTCGGTCGCGTCTGGCTGCTGCCGTTGCAGTGCTGCCCGAGGCTGGGCGAGCCGTGTCCGGGTTCACCGTCCTCTGCCTCCGTTTTCCGACGGTGATGACAGGGCCCTGCGGAAAAATCAAATCGTGTTGGCCTGTTCGGCCTCGCGACGGGTTTCAGGCCAGTATACATGAATGTGAATCTGCTGGAGTTGGACTTCCTCGTTTCTCGGCTGTACCAGGGGTTAGAGGTGTGACATACAGGGTGTTTAGATACTGATCAAGGTTTTAAATCTCTGACTAAGGGTTTTAGCGGACGACCTATAAAACAGCTATAGCGGAGGCTAAATAGAGCTATAGCGAGCTATAGCCGCTAATTTGTACATAAATACAAATAGCTTGATCAGCCTCAAACAGCTATAGCCGGCTATAGCTGGAGATTTAAAACATTGATACTAATAAAAAAATAAATTACAAAATCCGTCAGTAATCCATGAGATAAATTTATTAAGTCTAATTATCAAATCATGGACTAATTAGGCTTAAAAAATCCGTCATTAGCACATATTTACTGTTGCAACACGTTGTCAAATCATATAGGCTCGGTCAACTGGAATGTGTATTATCTATATGGGAGATCTTCCAATCGAGAAGATCCATCGATCTGAGACGAAGAGAAAGGGCCAATGAGTACTAATTAGGTTTAAAAAATTCGTCTTGCAAAATAGTCTCAATCTGTGCATTTAGTTTCGTAAATAGTCTATATTTAATACTCCATGCATATGTCCAAACATTCGATAAGACAGCGACTAAAGTTTAGAATGTGGAACCAAACATCCTCCCATAGTTATACCTTATGCTAGAATAGATCCTACTCCGTACTATCTATCTTAAACTAACTAGAGTTTAACAATCCCGCTATTCCAAATTATAAGATGTTTGCTATGTACTCCATCTGTCCTTAAATATCTATCGTTTGCGCTTCCCAAGAAACAACTTTGATTAAATATATATTAAAACAATATTAATATTTATAGTACATAATTAGTATCGTTAGAAAGATCTTTGAATCTAGTTTTTAATAAATTTATTTAGAGATACAAATGTTGCACTTATTTTTAATAAATTGAGTCAAACTTATGGCACGCACACCAACTATGATAAATAAAACGGGACGGAGAGAGTATATAAATATACACTATATTGTAGGAAAGTCAAAATATCCTATAATTGAGAACGGATGAAGTATTTAGCTAAGTTCATACAAAAGTACTAATCCTTATGACATTAAATAAGTATTGTTATTTTTTTTATAAAACATTTTTTTATATTATACCTATTTAATGATATCATAAATACAATATTTTTCTATACTCTCTTTGCCCAGAACAAATTTCGACCATTAATTTCTCTTACAATATGCTGTCATTTACCAAAAGATGAAACTTATATCAGAGACACTTTGAAAATAAGTGTATTGATGCAAATTAAAGCTTATGTCAAACTTGTATGTAATTTGGCTAATTGTTGATCGAACTTTATAAAATTTGACATTTTCTTTGTCAGGTAAACTTTTTTTTCCACTATGAGATGGTGGCTCTACGTTCCACTCCTACGCGTTTTCACCGAACATCGTATTCAACGGTTAGCCAAATTTGTACGTTCCTTAAATCCTTACAGTATGTCACATTTTTTCGTATACAGTAATAAAATTTGACTCCTCGTGTAAAATAGCTTTGGTTAGAATTAGTTTGGTTTTTACTTACTTAGGCGAAACCTAAAACAAGGGACATGTCTAGTTTAAACTCGAGTGTTTTAAAGGCAACTAGCACACGGGGTGTTTTGTGCAAAGAAAACACATGAATTCAGGAACCAAAAATCGTGTGTTTTATTGGAAAGTAACACACGATTTTGGGCAGCCTATGCAACAGAAGAAGAGTGCCAGCAGAGAAAGGAAAAACCATTTATTTTTTTCTAAACTAGCACACGAAATCCATCCAGAGAGAAAAACCGTGTGTTTTAGGAGGAAGTAGCACACGAATTTTATTGTAGTTGTAATTGTGCAAGTCAGCCCAGAAACCAGAAAACGAAAAGGCCCTTGTTATCAAGTCACAGGCCCATCAGCCCAGCAACAAAAGCATCTACTTGGGAAAGAAGCAAACCCCACGCACAACAGATCGACGGATCTGTTCATGAGGAAGACCTATGCTCTGCTCACGCAGAAAGCGAGGGAAAAGGGGAAAATCACCAGATCCAAAGAGACAGGACTCACATCAACATCATCCAAGGTTAGTACACCCCAGATCCAAGGATTACATGTGTTAGATCCCTGCAATATGTCCTCATCAACAGACAAATAGAACTCATTAGTTTGCAAATCAACATACAAAGAGCACAATGCTGCTTAGATTTCCCTACTAAATAACAAAGAGTACAATGCTGCTTAGATTTCCCTACTAAATAACAAAGAGTACAATGCTGCTTAGATTTCCCTACTAAATAACTGGTGGAGGAAGAATTTGTTAAAACAAGTAGTAAATTAGTGCGGAAAACCTCCAAGAAAACAACAGAACAATCAGAACCCAATCTCTACAAGCACTTTTGCCGGCAAAACACAGATATATCTTATGCATCTACTATATTTTCAAGTAACAATTTACAATATAGATGGGCACTCAATACCAAATTTTGACCTGACAACACCAGAAGGAAAGAAATGGCAAGGATCAAGAAATGGCAAGAAGCCATACAGTTCATGTACCAGACTACCCAGGTACTAGTTACTTTAAATAATAATTTACCCAGTGCAAGTAGACATATGTCAATGAGTATATATGTTAAAATAGATGCAAATTTGGACAAGATGCATTTCCAAATCCTGTGTTCACAAATCTACCAGAGATTAGTTACAATGACACAAATGAGCAATTACTTGAGGTAAAAAATCACAATTCATAGATGCATTCAAAAATTAATAATATCTCATAAAAAGCAAAATAAGTACTGTGCTACCTCTTTTTTAACGAAGCAGAATAGTATGTATATGATAACAAGCAGAGTTGATGATTATCCAACATCAATGAATAGGGCTAATTCATATTGTAAGGTTCATAAGTCAACCACCAGTCTACCATGGACAGGGCTAAAACGGGATATCCTATGCGGATAAAAACGGGATATCCCAATAAATATGGAAAAATGAAAATAGTAAAAAAAATTCGTCATGCATGTTTTCAGAATTACCAAAAACAGCAAAATTGAAAGCAGTCGGAATGATTGTCAATACGAAATCGAGCGAGTTAAATGTAGAAATTGGTATGGGATGGACCAGGATTTATCCCTACCACTTTTACCCCTATCTCCAACTGAGTGCATCACGGGGCTATGAACAATTGAGCCCGCCGCCGCCGCCGCCACAGAAGCAGAGTAGGTGGGTGGAGACAATGGCGACGCAAGCCTAGAAGAGCAGCCCCTGGACAGCGCCGCCAGCATCGTGCACGTACGACCACGACGCGCAGAGCGGCGCGGACTCAGCGCGACATCTCCATCGGCAGCCGGGACGGATGCGGCTACACTAGCAGGAAGCTGAGGCGAGGCGAGGCATTTGGAAGGAGAAGCAGGCGGTTGCGTCCGGACACTGCAAGCCAGCACCGGACCTTTCAGGTCTAGGATGTGACATGTCCCATACACCAAGCGAATTCATGATTTACGCATAGAACCCAGATTCTTATTTGACATTCAATTCTATTCTCAACAAATTTAAAAGGTGGCTGGCTGTTTCCAGATCTCAACAAGCCTGTACTCGGGCAGTCGAGCATCAAGCATTTAGATAATTAGATGAACCGTGCTAGGAGAAAATACTACAGGCCAAGAAAAAACACCCGAGCCGAAGACTGGAAACACCCAAGATGAATAATTTCAGCATTTTAACTCCATCAGGAAAAACACATGAATGTTGAGTGTACATTTTCGTTCTCGACTGTACAATGATTTAGGATGTTTGCCGTAAAACATCATTGCCTGTAACTCCATACACAGCAAGTGCTGAGGCACTAGTAGTAGCCCATTTGCACCGCGCATGTGTAGGGATGCATTTACCAAATGTTAAACGCCGGGAACAACCGCATTCCTGCCTGTAAAAGTTTTTCCTACTGATGCCAGCAGCCACTTCAACGTTTTAAATCCAGCACGACGGTTCAGAGGACGCTAAAAGGCACACCGTAAACAGATGATGATGCCTTCGTTCACATTCGGTACGTAGAAGTTGCTGTCCAGCAAAAGCGAAAGCAACAAATGGTTAGTCCACATAGATATGATTCCTACAAATGGTGTGTGCGCTTTATTTTGTCAAGCTCTTGTTGTAAACAGTTAAGCACACTGGCTTTCTTATTTTGTACTGGTTATGGACTTGTTATCAAGAAATTATGAAAGACGGTAAACAGTAAATATCTCTAGAATTTGGAGTTTTATATGTAGCCAGATAGCTCCTATCTCTATTTTCCCCTCAACAATCAAAAGAGTACAGGTTCATTTGCAATGATTTTGATAGTTTTTCATTTGCAATGAGTTAAAACATGAGCAAAGTAGTGCAGCTTCCATATGTAAAGATTTCCATACCTAATGAATGATCTTACTCAGCAGAATCAGAGTCATCATCAGCATATACAGCAGCTGACTTTTTAGGCAAGAATTCTTCATTAGGACAAATATCTGTGAATAACTACAACAAAGGAACCATAAAACGAATTAGTCAGATCAAGGACAAATCATATTCGATGTTATGTGACATCTCAATATATCATGCTACCATAGCCGTAGGTAGTGACTAAAAGAAACATTAAATATATACTAAAGCTATTTACAACATAGTGTACAAGTGACTTATACTGCAAAGAAAAAGTTGGTTGTTACAATCATGGATGGAACTTGCACCAAAACAAAATGTATATAAAAGTTGCTCCTTCAACGTGAAAGCAGATAAAATAAGCCATCTGATACTAATAAGAACAATTCTGAAAGATCCATGGTGATTTTTGTCCTACTCCCACCGTATTTTTTCTTGTCGTTAGGAACTTAGGACAAGCTGCTTAGCTCAAGTTAGTATTGAGCATCTTGTTCTAACGACAAGAAAAAATGTCCGGAGGTAGTACTTTTGATGCGGGTACATTCAAAAGAAAATGCAACATGCAATGCAATACCTTTTTTGATGAATCCAGTATACTCCGGTAGTCCAGATGTTCATCAGGTGTAGGGCACGACAATAAAGAACTAGATGTTCCCTGATTTGTAAGACAGGACAGTGAACTTTTAAGGGAAAAAATGCATAAACACCAGGACAAGATAGGTGTTCTTCAGTACTCAGACTACATGAATCCAGCCTATAATGGTGATAAAAGAAATTCACCTCCGTGATCTCTTGAACATACACACAGCTCCAAATTACTGTCGGCTTCAAGTCCTCATTATTTTCACTAGTTTCCTTCAAGTGGCCTTCCAAAGAATCTGAAGCCTGTGGAGCGAATAGAGCATCTATTGCCTTTTTTATGCATTGTTTTCCAGTAGAGGTATCAGCACACGGGGTAGACAGATACACCATAAACCTAAAAGCGAGATTGACTTGTAAGGTAAGCTATTAGTCCTGGGGGTAGACATAGCATGTGCATGCTAAAACTGACATTGTTGAATGATATGATGATAGAATAAATAACTTACATCCCAGGAGGGCATACTGCTAGATTGCTGCTCAACTGAAGACCCCGTATAGCTGCAATCTGCTGCTCTTCTAATGCTAAATGAAGAGAGGGAGTCATGTACTCAAAACAGATATACATTGCTACATCAAAGAAATATGGCGCAAACAGGTAATGAGTATCAGTTCTTACATTTCGGTGGGAAAACAATTAGAAGATTTGATGAATCCTGTTTCACAGATTTGCTAATTATGCATATACCCCTCGCAACTTTTCTCAGCAAGTTTGAGTCTGAACCATCAGATGGGGCATCCAGAATAGGGACTTTGTATGACGGGTCAAGTATCAACTGCTGGCACAAAATATCCTGACCGGATGTTAATCTGGCACCTAAACAATTCTTCCTTTCCTGATCCAGGGAAATAAACAATTTCAATTTATCGATGAAGAAGTGGAGTAACAAAACAAAATGGTTACACAACTTTCACAAATAAAGTATGCATCCTCTGACGTGTGAAATAAATAATGAAGGCCTCGTTTAGATGCTGAAAAGATTTCAACCCGATGAATAGTACCACTTTCGTCTTATTTGACAAATATTGTCCAATCGTGGACCAACTAGGCTCAAAAGATTCATCTCGTGATTTCCAACTAAACTGTGTAATTAGTTATTTTTTTTACCTACATTTAATACTCCATGCAAGCGGCTAAAAATTGATGTGATGGAGAGAGAGTGAAAAAACTTGGAATTTGGGATGCATCTAAACAAGGCCGAAGTATGAGAAAAATAGCACAAGTTTGTATCATACCTCATCCATAAGAAGTGCAGATATTGGCATCCGCAACACCTGAACAGATATTGGTAAGGCTGCGTATGAGAAATGACACAAGTTACTTAAAAGAAAGAGGACATAGGTTCCGTTTGGTATTGCGATGTCTTTTCAAAAGTGATTATTTATTTTATTTCTCATTTTGGTTGTTAGTTTTATATGAGAGCATCTTTCAAGGATCAATTACAACAGAAATCACACTAGGAATGACAAATATTCCTCTTACTAGATTCCACAGCACAGCAACCACGCAACCGCAAACAGAGCCATAAAGAAGGTGCAGCAGCCATTCAGGCAGAGACTTGCCGAACACATGGAATATTACATCGCCATTACCACACGTTTTTGTCCCAATCAGATTGCAAGTAAGACTATTGGGATTAAAGATGCTACAATCACATGACTGTCGACGAAAACAATAGCAAGAGCTAGAAGACAAAAATCATTGCGCAAATGTTTGTGAAGATCATCTTACATATAGTGCACCCTTAACAGCAGCGCAACGACAGAAAGCTTGAGTCAGTTCACCATGCCCATACATCGGATAAATGAAAGCACGTTGTGCATTAGCAAACCTGGTACAACAGAACAAGCAGATGTAACATTTCAGCAGCATAGCAAGGTACTTTAAACTTACATGCTTGACTACATACATCTCTGCAAATAAATGAAAGTTGATTGGTTGCTCAATAAGGCATTTACATAATAATAGAATATAATGCTTTCCAAAGTGGAGAAGGAAAGGTTCAGGCAAGCAAAGTGACCTCCCAATGGACGAGGAGTATAGAGCAATGGTCTGGATTCCCTCTCTCGTAGTCAGCAATTTCTCGCAACAGTCAGTGTCTTGATCATAATCTGCCATTGCAATTGCATAGAGCACAACCCTGTAAACAAGGCACAGATGTCAATCTTAGTAGTCATATTACTATAATAACTAGAGTAATCTCAGTTACGGACGCCCTTACGCTCTCATCTTGGGTGGAAGCTGCTGTTTCTTGAGATACTCAACGAAGGGGAGGTCCAGATCTTCCTCGGATATCTTATCAGAAGCTTCTTCACCCTCAACGTCCTCATCGGCAGCAGCAATGTGTGCCCGCACAAGCTCGAAGAACCTAAACAGGACGGTCTTCTCTGTAAGCTTGAGGGTGGCGGCGTCAAGGAAGATGGCCTGCCGCGAGTCCGGCACCGGGTAGAGCTGGCCCTCCCAGTAGAGGAGACTGCGCCCCTCCACGCTCTTGAACTCCACATGGTGGCTTCCCCCCGACCTCAGGAGAAGGTCCACGGCCTCGTCAGCGCAGTACAGCACCCTGGGGCCGACCAGATCGACGGTGAATCGCCTCGACGGCTCCGGTGCCACCCCGAGGTCTCGACCTCCGAGTAGATGTTGCGGCGGTGGAGATCGACAACGGTATGCGAATCGTCGCCGGAGGGGGAAAGGGGAACGGAGGAGGGGTCAGGGGAGAGGAAGGAGGGCAGCGGGACGGAGGAGTAGAGGGAGCCGTAGAATGGGTTGGGGTCGACGTGGAGGACGGTCTTCCCGGCGGCGGCGCAGGCAGCGGCGAGCACGGATTCCGGGAGGCCCGTGCCGCAGATGACCACGTCGAAGGAGGTGGGCTCGATGGTGGGGTAGTCGTGTGCCGGAGCTTCCGCCATGTTCTCCGATGAATCTGGCTGGGGATCCCACACGGAGGGCTGCTATCCCGTGCAAACACGGAGGCGCTTGGTAAGGAAGGTGAGATTTGCCGCCTCCGCTCGCAAGCAAGCAGGAGAGATTTGCTGCAACGCGACTTCGGTGGGCAGGCGGCGGGGAGATTTTCGGATCTACTGCCTCCGTCCAAAGAATGTAAATCTCCTTTTTCTTAGTGTGAGTGGGGAATTTTACATATTTATCATTATTAAGATCGCCACTCATCCGTTTCTCATCCTTACGATGGCTCTTACAAATTTACCATCTTTAAAAATCGTGCGTCTTCGTTTTGCCACATTTGCTCGTCTGGCACGCCACGGCGGACGTGACACGGTGGCGCATAGTCGGCAGGTAGCGACAAAATGACCCGCACGCTTCGGCTATTTGGAAGAAGGGAAAAGCGGGCGGCCCAGTCCGCCGCTTCGCCCATTTTCTCGTCGGGCAACGCCGACGCCCGACGCGTTCTCTTCTTCCCGTGAACACCGTCGCCGCTTCCGCTTCTTCTTGGTCCCCTTTCTTCTCTAGCTCGCTTGCCACGCCGCCACTCCCCTCCTCCCCTCATCCTCGAGCCACGGTGCGCCAAATTTGCTTTGCTCATGACGGATCGAAGGTACGGCCCCTGGCGCCTTTGCACCCACATTCCACGGCATTTAGGGTTAGGGTTCACGGGTGTACGCATGGCGGGCAGCCCGTCCTGCGTCCGCAAGCGCCGCGTCCTCGTTCGCGGACTTCTGGGGCGGTCGTATTCAGCCGCGTACGTGAGTGCGTCCTTTGACGCGCAATGGCGCATAAGCGCAATCTGTTTGTGGCATGCCTTTATAGAAACGAGAAGCTAGAAACGAGAAGCTAGTGATTGGTTGTGTCGTCCGTGTTCATTTTTAATTTACTTCACAAATTTTTCTAGTGATCCGTACATTAGCTAAAAATATACGTAAATTACGAAAAATATTATGTATCATTAGGAATATGTGTCGATTTTTTTTACATTTTCCCCATTCATGAGCTATCGAGAAAAAAAAATGCAAGTTAGCATCTATCAACATACATACAGATAAGAAATCATATGATGATGGCTGCTATCACTGCCTCGCCATAAGCTTTGAACAAGTCTGAGCTGGCTGCTGCTTTTCATCCCCCATATTTTGGTTCGGCTCTTGCCACTAATGGTTGCTCACTTTATCTCCATCCATTTTTTTTTTTTTCAGAGGATTTTGATGTAGTAGGTAGCATCAATCAATCGAGGTCACAATGGCAAGCAGTGATTGCCCGTCTTGGTAAGTGTTACCAACTTAAGCTGTGCAGTGGGTTGGATATTCTCTGACTCTGTATTTCGTTCATTGTGGTTGATTATGCCAGAATCGATCCTGGCTCTGCATTTAGACTAGTTGTTAAAGTCGCTAAATATGTTGCTAATGGTGAGTATGGCCTAGTCGAGATGGCGAGACAAAACAACACGACTTATGGTTTGACGAGGAGCAATGAGTATACTAAAACCCGTTTCATGAGGATTTAGCCACTAGGATTATATGGGGGCCATCTCAAACACTTTCAGTGTGGGTTCTTGACCAAGATACTGGGTCTGAGTGGAAGATTAGGAGGGATGAGTTTAGGCTAGCTGTCAGGCAACATGCTATAAGGAAGGAGTTTGAGCTTGATACTGAGCATTCAGACAAAGAAAGGTTCAGGGGTAAATGTGCTGCTCTAGGCTGTCCATGGTTTATTAGAGCTAGAACCCAACATGATGACAGTGTCAGGGTATAAATTCTAAATTATTTATGAACCTGTTGTTTTTTGTTTTATAACTGTTACTTTCTGCATTTTACTCCTTTGTTTGTGTTTACTGCCTTTGTTCTGATGTTTTGTTCTGTTTGCAAAATGCAGATACAAATCAATAAGGAGGTCCATAAATGTCCATCTACAAAAAGGGTTGTGAATAAGATGGCATCTATAAGCTGGGTGACAGAGAGAGCAATTCCATTGCTAAAGAATAAGCCATCAATGGAGGCTACAGAAGTAAAAAATGAGTTGAAGTACAAATATGGCATTGAAATCCCCTACCAGACAGTGTACAATGGGACAAAGAGAGCATCAGACAAGCTATTTGGTAAGTGGAGTGATTCTTTCGATTGGTTGTATAGATTCAAGGCAGAGATAGAATTGAGATCACCTGGTACTGTGGTAGAGATAGACACTATCACTGATGAGGATGGTAAAGTTAGGTTTAGCAGATTTTTCTGTGCATTCAAAGCTAGTATAGATGGATTTGTGAATGGCTGCAGGCCTTATATCAGTGTAGACTCGACAGCTCTGAATGGCTTGTGGAATGGCCACATGCCTGCAGCACTAGCATTAGATGGCCACAACTGGATGTTTCCTGTGGCCTTTGGTTTTTTTGACTCTGAGACAAAGGATAACTGGATCTGGTTTATGGAACAACTTAGAAAATCCATAGGACCCATGGAAAAGCTTGCTATCTGCACTGATGCATGCAAGGGGTTAGAGTCAGCAGTTAAAATAGTGTTTCCACAGGCTGAGATGAGAGAATGTTTTAGGCACCTAATGGAAAACATGAAGAAGTACTACAGTGGTGATGTGTATGGGAAGAATATGTGGCCTGTAGTAAGAGCTTATTCAGCACACAAGTTCAAGTTCTTTTTTGACAAGGTCTTGGCAGCCAGTCCAGATGTGCAGAAATGGCTGACAGAGCACCATCCCTTTCTGTGGGCAAGAAGTAAATTTTGTGATGACATCAAATGTGACTACATCAACAACAATTTAGCAGAATCTTGAAATGTTTGGATCAAAGAACACAAGGACTTGCCTGTGCATATGATGGCTGATGCTATTAGAGAGAAGATCATGGTTTTGTTTGCCAAAAGGAGAAAGATTTCTACAGCCTTGTCTCCTGGTATATTACAGGCTGTCATCCATCAACTTAATGCAGCATCAAGAGGTCTAGGACACTTAAACATTTCCAGTGGCCACCCTAATCAAGCTGAGGTTACAGAGGTCTACAAGGATGAAGAAGTTCGAAGACATGTTGTGTATTTATCTCAGAAAATATGCACATGTAGACAGTGGCAGATAACTGGTAAACCATGTCCACATGCCTTGGCTGTGATTACCAGCATGAGGCAACCTGACATGGGAGCATTTGTACACCACTACTACTCAGTGCAAAAGTTTCAGGCAGCATATGCAGGCATAGTTCCTAACATAACTGATAGGAATCAGTGGCCTGAGGTGGACAAGGGCTTCAAGCTGTACCCTCCAGCACAGAAAAAGAGAGAAGCAGGTAGGCTGAGGAAGAATAGGATTAAATCAGCAAGGGAGGCAGGTGGAAAAGCTACTAGGCAAGTCAAGTGCCCTAACTGCAATGAGTATGGTCATAGGGGTGGTAGCTGGAAATGTTCCCTCACTGGAACCAAGAAAAGGTGATTTCTTAACTCATGTATTTAATTTGTTTACTAGCTGTTGTAATTACTAACTTGTTTTGTTATTGTTGCAGGAAAAGAACCAAGAAGAGTAATATCCAGGTTGGGAGGAAGAAAACAAACAAATGTGATGCTGATGATGAAGCAGACACTCCAAGAATCAGAAGAGCACTAGCAAGGGAAGCTACAACAAAAGCAAGGAGGGATGTTGAAGAAGCTAAACTCAAGGCTGCGGCAGCAAGACAAGCAGCAGAAGCAGCAGCTAGGGAAGAAATTGAGGCTACAAGAAATGAGTTATCTGCAACTCATGCACAGGAAGATGTCCTGGAAGCCTTGGCTTTAGAAGTTGATGTCTCAGAAACTACAAAAGCTAGGAGGTATGCTATTGAGTCTACAACTAGGAGTTCATGTCGCTTGCTGTACCATGACTTTTATTGTTTTGAACAGGAACCTATTCTCAGAAGATGAACTGCAAATTGAGCCTGTCAAGAAAATGACACCTAGGAAGAAGAAGTTGACAAAGAAGGTGAGAAAGAACTAAGGATGAACTGGGAACTTAAGATGAACCGGAACATTGCTTTTATTTTGCTAAGAGCTTGAACTCTTGATAATATGTGTAATTGGCCAGAACTTTTATTTTGCATGGCCTTCTATTGTAATCAAATGGGCATAACTATCAGCATGCTGTCGTGTGTAATGGGCAAAGGCCAAAAACTCTATATGTATGGCCACAATGTGCCCCTATTTGGTTGTCAGAAACAAGTACTTTATGTAGTGATCTTAATTTTTCCATAGCTGATGTGCCTATCTTATTTGGTTGTCATATGTGGTACTATGTAATGTGCCTCTATTACTTTGCATGGACACAATGTGCCTCTCTTATTTTAGATGGCCACAATTTGTCTCTCTTAATTAGCATGGCCAGAATGTTCTTATTTTTTTTATTGCCATATGATTCATTCAAACACAGACAACATGACAGTTCTAGGCCTGGGGGAACGAGCGCCTGGGCCGGCCATTTTCCTGTCTTTGAGCGGGCGAGCAAATGGGCAGGGGCAGCCAAGTCTTTTTGCAGGGCACTGCTGACCGTGTCATGTCGCCGTGGCGTGCCAGACGAGCAAATGTGGCAAAACGAAGACGCACGATTTTTAAAGATGATAAATCTGTAAGAGCCATCGTAAGGATGAGAAACGGATGAGTGGCGATCTTAATAATGATAAATATGTAAAATTCCCGTGTAAGTGTGAAATTACATATTTATTCCTCCAACGTTCTCTTAATAAGTAGAAATTATAAAATAATCAATACATTCTAAAATGTTATTCTCATGGATAGATAAAGTAATGGTATTTTAACAGGTGGGTCTTATTAGAAAAGTTAGTCTCATGTCTATAATTCCATTCTTTTTTAGACAAGATTTGAATTGCAAGATTACGTTCTTTTTTAGACGGAGGGAGTAAAGCTGTGGAGCGACAGGTTGCTTGTGAATTGACGTGCTGGACTCTTAATTTCCTTCCGGATTTTTTTTTATGTTCTAAAAAAATTGATGAACTATGCTACATATACTACACCAACTGGTCAGGGTAAATAATAGGATCATATTAATGAAGGAAATCAAGTGACTATACTAATGTTGATACTACATCTGTTCAGAAATGTAAATGTCACTTGATTTGGTGTTAAGTTTTTCAATCTTAAAATTCACATGATAAAAATAATGCTATTAAATATTCATCGTAAACCATATATCATTTTATTTCAAATAATTCATTTTTACAGATATCGATGGTAATAAAACTTGAAAAATGGGCTTTAAACAAACTCAAAAAATTTGAGAAAACACATCACAATTCACACTGCCAAAATATATTTACTTATGTTTCCAATAATCAATTGTAATAGTTTGGCGACGTATATCACTTTGAAAACCACATCCAACAGGGAACAACGGATCGTAGTCAGCATCTCTAGCATTTATAGGCAACTGATCCATAGACCTAAGCCATGTCACAGGCAATGTGCCCACAAAATCATGATCTCCAAAATGGCAATCGGCGATTCCCATGCCCTCAGTTCCAGGTAGCCCGGCATCATCTATCTTCTCCAGAACTTGTGGCTCGATAAGCAAGGGCCTTCCAGATATAACAATCACTAAGGTTGGGATTTTGCTTGCAACACGGGTGATAAGGGTGGAGCCATCAAATGGAATGCTGAGATCAGTCCTGTCTCCTAATAACCCTTCAACGTATGGAACCTCTCCAACCACAACAACTGCATAGGAAAAGTCCCCGCTTTCAATTGTAGCTTCTGTTGGGTATTCCACATACACCAACTTCTGTTTCCACTCCCAAATATTCTTTTATGGCCTCCAATATGCTCGTACCAAGAGTTATTTTTCCATTGCCGCCACTCCATTTTATCGTCCATCCACCGCACTGATATCTAATATTATCAGCATGTGTTCATGCAACTAGTATTCTTTTTACATTCTTCGCCAATGGAGGGAATAGCCCTGTCTGAGTCTTGCCATTTTTCAGAAGAACCAAAGACTTTCGAACAGCCTCACGTGCTAGCAGCCGATGTTCCTGAAAGGTTAACGACCTAATTAAGATATAGTGTGTTGTGCGGTTGATGATCTTCACTGCAAGATAATTCCAACAGAGTAATGTGAACTATTGGCGGAAACAACATGGAACGACATATGCAAACGTGCATTTGTTACCTTGCATCCAACAACGTTCAGTAGAGATGGGTCAGAAAATGGATGCTCAAAAACTCTAGAAATGAACTTGACCGTCAGAATGTGCTCCACAGCGCCGTGACAGTATGTATTTGATTACCAGATGTTCCATAGATGGTGAAATGAAAAGGACAGTGAAAGTCATATTTGGCTGACTTACATCTAGATAGGTATTCAATCAGCCGTCTGTCAAGATCAAAGTGCTGGCATAGAAGTTTCTGCAGAAATATATAAGCATGCTATTAACCATCTCTGACAAAAGCAATAACACATAGTACGAACACGTCAGCGGAACTTGATGTAGCCGAGTTTTATGCTGAGCCACTAAGGAAGACAAGATTGTTAACTGAAGTTTCAGAGGTTCTATCATTGATGCCTCATTCACTCAATATGTTCTCTCATCAATCACTCAATAAGTTTATCTCAATCCCAGATGTTGTCAGGCTGCAGTGAAAGTGAATTAGAGTGTCAGGCTGTATTTGGTATTGTCTCCTTCGAGGGCCATGTTTCATTACTTCACTTTCACTCATTGATCTAATGTTTAATAAAGCTCACCAGATAAGCTTATCTTTTCCATTTCAGGCACATGGTCATCTGTTAACCATCAGTCAGATCTCCAGTCACACCAACAGTATACACTGCAAATCTTTTTTGAATAAAAAGCTCTCCAAAAGTAACAAACATACACTACAAAGTCTTACTATGCTTACGAGCAAAATAATTAATATTTTTACAAATATGCACATTATTAAAGATATGAAGGCACGCCGAATCGGCGGCCTTCTAGGATGTCCACGTCAGTTCTTTTAATTTAGTGTCTTAGATCGAAATTTCACGCCTCACATAAAACGCGTCTCAACCAGCCAGGTGAGGCATTAGCAGGTGACATGCATGGCCGGTGCCTAACGCGTATATGCATACTGCTGGAGCCGTCCTCGCTTTGCATGCATGCATCACTTGTCGATTTTTGTGCACCATGACCCCATCCCGTCCTCAATTCCGGTTCTCATCCCATCCCCATCCCCATCTCCATTTCTCAGCCGCCTGCGCGGGCCGCAGAGCTCGGCGCGACACGCGACCGCGTCTGCCGACCAACCACTGCGGGCTGCGGAGCATAGCCGGGGGAGACCGACGCGGGAGCCTGGCCCCGTCGTCGTCGGGGTCGGGGTCGGGGAGGCGGAAGCCGGAGCACGAGCGGTGGCCGCGGAGCCCGGCGTGGTCGCGCCCGCTGTCCGACAGTGGCGGAGGCCGTCGCCGCAGAAGCAGCTCCTCCTCCTCCTCGTCCTTGAGGTCCCTGTTCCGTTCCATCGGGGTGTGGTTCAGCTCGCTCTCCACCGCATCATCGTCGTCGTCCGCGTCCGCGTCCATGAAGCGGAGGAGCAGGGACGCCGCGCTGGCGGGTGACGCCGGGGCCAAGAGGCCGCCTTGTAAGTCAACTCACCCCCCCCCAGTCCGTGCCCTCCGCCATGGTCGAGCAACTTGTGCCCTTCAATCAATTGCGTGATGATGTTGATGGTCGTGGTACATGGCGGCAGTGCCGGGGTACGCCGGGACGAAGACCTCTGCGCGCGGGCCGTACAGCGGCGGTGGCCACGCCAGCGGCAGGGAGCACCGGCCGTCGTTCCAGAGCTCCGTCTTCTCCATCGAGGAGATCCTAATTCGGTTGTTGCATACATATATAAACAATATTTGTACTGATGCATACTTTTCTTGATTGAGTGAGAAGCACAGCTTCGTTCCAATGCAGCCCAGTTTCTTTCGCTGTATGCCTGTATGCGTATGCCTGCCAAGGACGACAGTAACACAGGAAGGGAGGAGATACACTCGTCGACGATTTCTTGCTGTTGCTCTGCTGGTGGCCTCATAACATTGGGCAGGGCGGCTTCGGCGCCGTCTACAAGGGCGTCCTCCCCGACGGCACCGTCGTCGCCGTCAAGCGCACCATGCAGGTCAGTGAATCCACCAAGCTGCCTGCTGATTTCTTCAACTCTCAATCGACGGACGAAAACAACAAATTTAAATTCCGGGATGAATGATCGCAGCGGATGCAGAGCCCTCACGTGGACGTGGAGTTCCGGAGCGAGATCAAGATCATGGCGCGCATGGAGCACCAGAGCCTGGTCCGCTTTTACGCCTACATGGAGTGCGGCGAGGAGCGCATCGTCGTCGTCGAGTACGTCCCCAACGGCACCCTCCGGGAGCGCCTCGACAGTAAGCTACCACCTGCCATTGCTGCTCTGCTTCCAAGTTCATCTCTCCCCTCGCCAGCAACCAACCAAACCATGAAAACAAGCAGGGTGCAACGGGAGGTTCCTGGACTTTGGGACGCAGCTGGACATCGCCATCGACGTCGCGCACGCCGTCACCTACCTGCACATGTACTCCGACCACCCCATCATCCACCGCGACATCAAGTTCTCCAACATCCTCCTCACTGACTCGCTGCGCGCCAAGGTGGCCGACTTGGGCTTCGCCCGCCTTGGCGCCGGCCTGGGCGCCGGCGCCGCCGGGGAGGCCACGCACGTCACCACCCAGGTGAAAGGCACGGCGGGGTACCTGGACCCGGAGTACCTCAAGGCGTGCCAGCTCACGGACCGCAGCGACGTCTACTCCTTCGGCGTGCTCATCGTGGAGCTCGCCTCGGCGCGCCGCCCCATCGAGACCAAGCGCGAGTTGAAGGAGCGCCTCACCTCGCGCTGGGCCATGGCAGGTTCATCGGCGGCGCCTCCGCCGATGTGCTGGACCCGTACCTCGCACGCCCGCCCGCCGTGGAACGCGCGCTGGAGATGGTGCTGGTGCTCGCGTTCCGGTGCATGGGCCCCGTCCGACAGGACAGGCGCGCCATGAGCGACTGCTGCAGGGCGCTATGGGCCATCAGGAAGACGTACCGGGACATGCTCGCCGCCGACGCCACACCGCAGTTCTCCGACCGAGCCGTTCGGTGGCTAAAAAAGTCTGTTCCGGCTGAAATGGTGTAATTTCGGCTGGAAAAGAAAAGTCGAACAAGCCAGATATGGGGTAAGCCGAATGGGGCCAGTAGCGGCGACCTCTGGAGGATCTGATCGTTCCAAGGTCATGAATCCTGCTACTAGCTAGCTGCTAGCTCATTTGGTTTGACTGACCCTTAAGTTTGATGTAAATATACACTGGATCATTTTTTTTCTTTTGCTACTTTTCTCCTTCTAGATTGTGTTCATCTGATGCTAAGCGTTGGATTCCATATGATTGTTCTTATTTTAGAACAGTTCTATCGTTTTCTGAATTCTGAAAGGGTTCACCAAGTTGTTCTAGTGATTCTTGTAGGATTCTATCTCCAACCTTGGCTATGAAATCATGCAGGGAGTAGGAATTTCTTTCTTTTTAGTTTATTAGTTTGAAGGTGATGCATTCCGTTTGTACAGACATTACAACAGGATCATTCACTGTTTCTTATCTGTATTGATGAAGAACACGTGAACCTAGGACCAACTGATCGCATCTCCATCCCCAATTCTCACATCTTGCAATCCACCAAGTTCAGCTCTGCTCTTAAGTTTGTAGCTTCAGTTCAGAAAAATGCACTTGTAACATGTTTTCGCACACAGGTTCGTGCTTCCATATATGATATATCTTCAGTTTTGGTATCTGTTGCTACCTGCAAGTTGCAACATTGGACAGCAATTTGCATCCAACACCTGTACCTCACAGTTTGCATTCAGCACCTATACCTGAATTCAAGCACCTGCATTGCACCTAGATATTTATTTAGCCATTCCTCGTGCCTTGTTTTTTGAAAAATTACAAGCTGCTGTTACCTAGATATTTATTCAGCCATTCCCTTTTGTGCTCTAATAGTAGTAGAACAGATGATAGAACTCCAAATCCAAGCATCTTGCGGTTTCGGTGTTTTTTTTCCCAACTCGCGTCCGCGAGAAAAGAATAGCTCGGTTTTAGCATCCCCAGCAGCATTCCAGGAAACTGAAACTGTTCTGTCTACTCGGTATCTGTATCTCTTCAAATCAAGCCTCAAGAGAGCTACTAGAATTTCTCTGTCCCATCGTTGCAACATTCGTGAATGCCAAAAGTAAATTCTTCAGGACGCAGATAGAAACAGCAGAAATAAATGTGGTATCTTGGGGAGCCAGTTGCTCTCCTCGACTGGACCAGTTTAAAACAGGGTACTCCATACTCCCTCGGTCCCAGAGGGAACGGAAGTCTCCGCTCGTGATTAGTCAAACAATCATGAGCTTTGACTTAGATTTATATAAACTATTTTCATATTTGTATCTGGAAAATCCTCGAAAAGGATTAGATGATGTCTAAACGCATTTAAGCATTTTAGCGCTGATAAAACACAAGGTGCAACCAGCGTCAACGCAACATACATGGTTCCTAATTTATAGTTCTTTTTTACTTTAGTTTTGAAAACACTTATTTTCCTATATAAAATTCAAGCAACCTAAACAAAATTAAATCACTTGAAGCTATTTATGAAAACTGAAACTTTAGGGTGTTATAGAAGAAGGCAAACCATTTACGCCTTGGTGAGGATATATAACACATTGAGCGACATGAGAGTATTATTCGAGGAACTTAACTTTGTTTTGCAAAAAAACTTGAAAACAGAAGAAGTAGTGCTTTGTCAAGTTGTTCTATCTCTCGCCGAGCTCTACCCCCCGCGCAGGCGGCTGAGAAATGGAGATGGGAATGGGGATGGGATGAGAACGGAAATGAGGACGGGATGGGGCCAGGGTGCACACAAATCGACAAGTGATGCATGCATGCAAAGCGAGGACGGCCCCAGCAGCATGCATGTACGCGTTAGGCACCGGCCATGCATGTCGACAATCCATCGTTACCTGCTACGCGCCACCGTCCATTTACATACCGCGTACCATCGGAGGCACCGTACTTCATTTAATGTGGCCCTGCCAAAAAAATGCCAAGCATCAAAGTGAGATGTTTAGTGCCTACGATGGCTGCGCTTTACCGTTCTCACCATTGCGTATGTTTAGTTGATGCCAGATCGTATTATTTACTCTGGCCATAAATGTGGTCATACAAGGGGAGTTATGCCCTACCTAACCGTACCTTGGCCTGTTTCTCACAGCCTCCTGCATGCAGTGTTTCTGTTCCTTGTTTCGGGTGCCTCATGCAAGGCATTAGATGCGCTGTAAATTCCTGCCGCCGACAGTAAATTCCCTGCATGCAGGTGAGTAGCTGATATTTATTTTTTTGCATGCAAAGGAATACAATATCTGATAGTGGTTTTCCTGCGTGTAAAGGAGTAGCTGATGGTAAATTTGTAAGGGAAGAAAACACATTTATCATGTGGGTTTGTTAAGACAAAGTTTGTGGAATGGTCCCTATCCTCGGACCCTCTACAGCGACACATCTGCCGCATATGGCCTTCCTCTCACCGACCAGAAAGGAGGCAGCATGGCCTATCGATGGAACTGGGTTGTAATTGGTTAGCACAGTCCCTGAACCACTCTAACCATTTACCTCTATGGACAGTCCGTTATGATGGCTTCTAAATGTCCCATCCATCCAACTGTGCAAGGGTTTACAAGCTACATGAATGTATTGTTAGATATGTTTGTTTGTGTGTGTGCAGGTCATGACACCTTGCCGGATGAGTGTGTGCCTGCGAGATAGGTTCCTGTTAGCTGCTGTCGTTTTTTGTGGCCGAGCCTTCCACCATTGGCCGTTAGATTAATACACGATCTGACCAGTGGAAGTAATAGAGCAGCTAAGTAAGTGCGGTATGGCCGTGCATCTGCGCCACCATCAGCGGGGTGCAAGGTCTAATACATAAGGGGTACCTAACGTGTGTTTTGTCATGGTGTGGGTGGATGCATGTACCCGGCCAAAATAGTAGTTCTCTGTACACACACGTGCGCATGTAACTATATGCGGTGTGAGACAAACCGAGGTGCACCTACCACACACGGTGGCGTTCTGAAGTGCATCTCATTGAAGGTAGCTACTGTTAGCGTGATAACAACATCTAATCGGCTAGCCCATCCTTGTCGTGCATGTAGTTCACCTACCAGCGGGGTTCATGTAAGTCGGCAATACTACACATGCAGGCTTTCTCTATTTATATGCCAGCGTTCGTGTCTAGGATCTGCACTAGCGATGCACCGCAAGCGAGCATAGCTCAGCGGCGGTAAGTACTTGACCTTCCCGAGATCTCTCCTTGCGATAGGTTCCTCGTGTAGGTGCGAAAAAAGACTTTCTCGTGGTCCATGTGCCGGGATGTGGTCACGTGGATAGAATGCAAAAACATACAAAGGTCAAACTATTAATGTTACTTTCACCGGTTTTATGTTATTTGGTCCTCTTCTCGAGCTTAGCATGTGCTGGTCTCAATTTTTATTTGGAACAAATATATCTACGACCATGGACTCGTAGCTATATTTGCTTTTGTTTTAGATGTAGAAGGTATGTGGCCTATGTATGCACTCTTGTATGTTATATATCTCACAAAGTAGGTTCCCACTCATCTAGTAGGAGCATGGATGGGGGTAAGAACATCATCATCAATATAAGTCTGTGTGGTTTGCTCCCCAGGAGGGTTGTACCTCTTGACTGTGCTCTGATTGGTGAATGGGAACAAAAGAGAGAACGGGAAAGTTTCGCCGCTGAGATTGTAGAAACCAGGATGATGGAGTAGGGGTTGTGCTTTACCAGTCTCACCACCGCCTATGTTTAATTGATGCGAGATCTTATTATTTAGCATGTCCATAGGTGTGGACAAAAGGAGGAGTTATGAGGTACCTAACCGTACCTTGTATTGTCCCTCGAGAGCGACACTGCATCTTTGTGTTCTGTTTTATGTTTCATCTGCCTCATTCAAGGCATTAGATGCGTTGTAAATTCCTAACCGCCAAATTGTGAGCTTCCCACATACGCAGAAGTAGTGGTAGTAGTATTTTTTTGCGTGCAAAGAAATGCACTAGCTGATAGTAGCTTGCGTGCGTGTAAATGAGCGGCTGGTAGTCAATTTGTATATAAGGGAAGAAGACATGTGGGGTAAATTTCTCCTAACGCAGTAACTATCCTACCTGGGAAGAGCAGGTGTTTTTTAGTCCTTCTATGCATGTCCCATCAAGTGTTCATACGTTTCATTGGACACGTGTTGTTTTTTTGTTGTCAGACCCTCCACAGACTTCAACAGCAACACGTTGAGCGCATGGGGGCTTCCTCTCGCCGACCAAGAAAGAGGCAGCATGGCCTTTCGATGGACCTGCGTCGTAATTGGTGAACCCAATTCCTCACCCACCATACCCATTTAGCTCTATGGACAAGGCGTGATGATGGCTTCTAAATATCGCATCCATCAAACTTTGATGCAAGGGCTGACAAGCTACGTTAGTGTCTTTGTTAGATATCTTTGTTTTTGTGTGTGTGCGGTGGTCATGGCACCATACCGAGTGAGTCTAGGCCTGCAATATAGGTTATTTGTTACACGATGGCGTTTTGACGGTGAGGCTTCCACCATTGACCATTAAGTCGACACGAGCCCGTCAATGGAAGTAATAGATCAACTAAGTAAGTGAAATATGGCCATGCATTCGCGCTACCATCGGCAGGGTGAGAGATCTAATACAAAAGGGGTACCTAATGTGTGCTTTCTCAGCACGTGGCTAGATGCATCTATCCGGCCAAAAATGTACTTCTCTGTGCACGTGTGCCCATAATGGAACCAACACAAACTCCTAAAAACCTATCTAGGGTAGGCGCCCAAACCGGGACAGCTTAGGTGTACTTGGTGCACACCCAACACGAACTCCTAGAAACCTATGTAGGGTAGGAGGCGGCGCCTAGAAGGGTCTCAGGTGACCCTGCCAGTGGACAAAAGG